ACGAGGCAGAGAACGCAAGAAGAAATCTTATCTCTGCGCGATCAGCATGGACATATCGTGAGGGGCTCTCCGTCTCTCTCAGATGGTACAACGGGGAAGCCTTCAACAAGCAGATTAGTTGATGGATGATTTGTGACAGTGTGGAGTGCACAATGAGGTCACAAACTATACAACCTATCTCAGAATCTATCTATCAATCAATCAATCAATCAAACAATCAATCAATCAATCAACAAATCAACCAACCAATCAATCAACCAACCAATCAATCAATCAATCAATCAATCAATCGATCAATCAATCAATCAGTTAATCTATCAATCTATCAATCTATCAATCAATCAATCAATCAATCAATCAATCAACAAATCGACCAACCAATCAACCAACCAACCAATCAATCAATCAATCAATCAATCAATCAATTAGTCAGTCAGTTAATCAATCAATCAGTCAGTTAATCAATCAATCCATTAGTTAATAAACGAAGAGAATAAGAGAATATCATTCTCTTTTGAAATTTGAAATGCACGACGGACTAGTCAATCTCCTCCTTTGTCCGTCATCGCGCTCGTCCTGCCGATCTCGTCTCTGGACTCAAGAAGGGACCAGATTCGTTGAACGACGGCTGCATCTGGATATGAGGTTAGATGTTTCCTAGGAAGCCGGAGGTCGTTGTCTCATTTTGTAATTTTTTTGTTTCTTTAAATTCTAGTCCAACATTTACAAATTAGCGGACTCAAATTTTCCTAGGAAGCAGTAGTGTTAATTATTGCTTTTACTGCTATTATAGTTATTTAACGTTTCCCCAAAAAAAAAAAAGTTTATTGAATGTATTACTGATTAGAAAAGAAAAAGCAATCATTAGCCAGACTCTCTCTGAGGCCTGTGCTTCTTGCGCTGTTTGCATCTTTCTTCCTCGTATGACAATCAGAAGCGTACTCTCACACTAGGACTTTTTCTACAAAGCTCTGGTCGTGATTGCAGTCAGATTCATCCAGGTCTGGTCGTAATTGCAGTCAGATGCATTTAGAAATGTGCTATTGTGAGTAGCACGTCGTCTGAAGAAAGACTTCGATGCGCGGGACGGGATCCCGTCTCGTGGGCAGAGTGCGCGGGAAGCGGTTGCTGTACTTGATATGATGGCTTGGCCCAGACCGTTGGTCCAGATCCCACTGGCGGGAACGATTGCATCGGGACCGTAGAAGGCGGGCTAGGGCTACCGCAGATCGGGGGCAAGGCCCCATTTGCACGGATTAAGAGATTCTAGCCGTTGATCTTTGCTATCCTATCTACGGTCAATATCGCTTAATAATGCGTAGAAGGCGGGCTAGGGCTACCGCAGATCCCACTGGCAAAGAGAGGATTGGAATAAGTGTCTGAATCAGGACGTGTTCCAGGAAGAGATGCAGAAAAGCAGATCAATTACAGTTTGTTGCACCTCTCCACAAACACGTCCAGATTCAGACACTTATTCCAATCGTTTTTGCCAGTGCGATCTCGCCCTAAGTCGCCCAGTAGCGTAGTTCAGACTTTTCCCGGGTTTTCTTCATTTGCGTGCTGAGGTGCAGCCGGACTTTCCCGCGCTTTTCATTTGCATGCGGAGGTGCCGCCGGACTTTTCCCGCGCTTTTCATTTGCGTGCGGAGGTGCCGCCGGACTTTTCCCGCGCTTTTCATTTGCATGCGGAGGTGCCGCCGGACTTTTNCGGAGGTGCCGCCGGACTTTTCCCGCGCTTTTCATTTGCATGCGGAGGTGCTGCCGGACTTTTCCCGCGCTTTTCATTTGCGTGCGGAGGTGCCGGATAAGAGATTTAACGACTACCGCCTTCCACGGAACACAACCGCGTACTCATTATGGATGTACCAGACCGGAAAGATAGCTTGTATACATGCATTATCAGGGGTGCGTTGTGTTCGGGGGAAGGACGGTAGCACCGCTCGATCACTAGACGGACTGCTATGGCATTTGCCGTTCCCTTGTCATGTGTATATCACCAAGTAGGGCATACTCACACGAACACTTTTCCTAGATGTATTTCACCGCTATTATGGCCAGAAGTGGATGCATCTGGCCGCAATCACGTCCATTACTCAGTACAAAAAGTCGGTAGTATGAGTATGACCTTACTTCCTCGGAGCCCCAGTACCGGTACCTGTTGCACCTGACCAAAGAGACCAGATGATCCATGCCCGGAGAGAGAGAGAGAGAGAGAGAGAGAGAGAGAGAGAGAGAGAGAATCCGTTGATGGGAGAGAGAACTGATACTCACCGACGTCGATGATGTGTTGTTACTCCCTTGCACTTTCAATTTTAAGCACAGAGAGAGAGAGAGAGAGAGAGAATCCGTTGAATGCTCAACGACGCCGATAATGCGTTGTTACTCCCTTGCACTTTCCATTACAAGCAATCTTCTTCTTCTTGTTGTTCTTCCTGTTCTTGTTCTTCTTCTTCTCTTTTCCCCGTCCTCCTTGATAGTGTTCTCTCCTCCGCCTTCTCATCCTCCACCTTCTTCTTCTTTGTCTTCTAGACTTTCAATTCTCCATAGCTTCGAGAGTAAAAGCAAGATCACGTGCCACGTGTAATCACTCCCCTTCACTTTCCATTACGACCAATCTTCTTCTTCTTTTCTTCTTCTTCTTCTTCTCTTCTTCTTCTTCTTCTTCGGTAGGTGCAATTGTCTATCGCCTTGAGACGAAAGCTCACGGGTCAATCAGGAAGGTGGGTTGTCTTACAACGCTGCCGCACACGGTGAAGGAGTGAGTGGTTGATGTCCTTGTACATGCGTAAGACACGGGCGCACACGGTGAAGTAGTGAGTGGTGGATGTCCTTGTACATCGCTCGCGCACGTAAAAGGATGACAACAACGGAGAATGCAGCACACGGTGAAGGAGTGGAAAACGCAGGGAATCATTTTCCGTGCATCCGTCGGATATCAATGGCGGGTGTACACGGTGACGTAGTAACAGAACTACCTCCACGCTTAAGGAACGACTTCCCTGCTAAACTGCATGTACAGATATGTGAACAAGCTGTGCCACGCGTGGGAGGCAACTGCAGTTGAAGGGACAAAGAGTGTCGCTCCACCCGTACTGTACAGAGG